ATTTAGTCCAATTTTAAATTTACGATACAATTAAAACATAAGGATACAATTAAGACAGGAAAGCCATAATATTTTGAAAATATGATATTTAATCTAACATTTGTCATTATGTATCGTTAAATTGATCATATATATCAATTCAAGCCATATTTTCATGGAAACTAATTTTTATGTAATTTTTTAGCAAGTCTAGCTAAACTCATATCGGTAGAGATGACCAGAGTTCGATTACAAACCAAAAACGAATCGAATTGAAATTGAATTGATCAAAATTGAAACCAAACCGTGGTCAACGGTTTAAGATTCCAAACCTTAACTGAAATTGAGTATTTAAGGTTCGATTGCAATTTTTTTATATTTGAAAATTAGAATCGCAGTTCCAGTTTGAAACCGTTCAAAAAGAAAGCAAAAAGAAAAGAACATGGTTTTTAATTACTAAAATTGATTTTAATTTTCACCATTAAATGCAGTAATTCTATCATCATCTTAAAATTGTTAATATAAATATAACTTGTAAACAGTAATCGGAAAAAATAAAAAAAAATTGCTCATTTAAATATTTTTAATTTAAATCTTTTGCCTAATTTATAAAATACACCATGTTGCTAATGAAATATGTGTACTGATTGAGATTCAAGTGTTTCTTCTACGATATATTTTATTATTTTGATAAGAGTTTTTGAAAAAAAGAGTACTTTTTCATATAGTCTAAATTGTTATTTCAATAATTTTTTATTTGAACACAAACGTTAGAAACAATACATTTTTTCACAAAATCATGCCAATTTTATAAAAACATATTAACCTATCACTTGTATAACCTACATACCTTCAATAAGTGATCGTGTGAAAGGACCAGCCTCATACGCAGATTGCGACTTCATGGGACGTTCTCAAAAGACTGCACCACCCATATATACGACCCACAGGATCGAATTATTAGTATTTCGATTCGTCAAGTCTTTTATAAATAGAAAAAGGCAACTTTATTTCTACGAGAAAGTTTTTTACTTTCAGAGTAATGATATTTTTATAACACTGAACTGACTTAAATTGCTGTTAATAGTTTTACAGACCCAGCGTTTGTATTGCACTTTCTGAATCTTTCGTTTCTCTCTCAAATATCGGAAAAACGAACGTGGCCTTGTTATGGTTTCTTGTTTTCCTTTTCCTTTCTTTAATTTAAACTTAAGTGCATAGATTATGGTTTTGTAAAGCAATGAAAACTGAAGAGGTAAATTTTTGGAATCAAGATAAATTTTTGGGAAATAATTATCCCGTCCCTAAAGTTTTACAAAATTAATTAACTCGTTTTTGTATTTTTGTACATTAGGCATTTAGTTATTAAAGTTTGGTTCCGTCTCATTAAATCATCGTTACTTTCAAAATCAAATGTTTTTTTCCATTAAATGAGTACAAAAAGCAAAAGTGAGAAGAGAGAATTATTTTAATGACAAATGATACACTTGAGCTTTATTTTTCCTTCATTTTTCTTACTCACCTTCCTCTCCGCCATGGTCTTCCTCCTCGCATAGCACAAGCAAACATCAAGTGTTTTTATTCTGTGAAGTTTTGATCCTTTTATCAATAGAGAAAAACAAATCAGAACATAAATATCAAATTTTTGAAGGTGAATAATTTACCATATATTTCTTTCCATTTTTACTCTATTTTCTCACCAACCAAACATAAAATAACAAAAAAAAAAGTTGTTTTTATTCTGTGAAGTTTTGATCCTTTTATCAAATAGAGAAAAACAAATCAGAACATAAATATCAAATTTTTTGAAGGGATAATTTAACCATATATTTCTTTTCCATTTTTACTACTATTTATTCTCACCAACCAACATAAATAAAAAAAAAAAAAGAAAAAATATTTCTTTCCATTTTTACTCTATTTTCTCACCAACCAAACATAAAATAACAAAAAAAAAAAGAAAAATAAATAATCTCATGGATCTAAGATTTTTAAATATAATATTGTTAGGCGTTCATTGACTATTACCAAATTACAGTTTTTAATAAAACAAAAACAAAAAAAAAGTAGAAAAATCTCTCTCTCTCTCTTTCACCTCTCTTATTTTTTAAGAGGATGATGAAGAAGATGTGAGATGGCATCACAAAAATGGACTCTCTTTATTTAAAAACAGAAATATATGGTATAGCTCCATCGATCTCTGTTACGAGGTTTGGAGGCCAGTCGAATCGCATTCTAGGTATGAGTGCGATGGGATGGGGAGAAATCGATTGTGGCTACAGCACCACCTCAGAAAGTGGCTTAGTCGTGGTGGTCGGGCTGCATATCAAGTCTTTATGGAAAGAGGAGAAACAAAGTGAGCAGTGGTGTGGAGATCCAATAAAGAATGTGATATTGAGATGGTGAACGGTGCCCTAAAAGCTTGATAATATTTTCACTTTTTTTTTTCCTAGAAATGGATTTGTTTATACTTTTTTCTTCATTTTTTTTTTATTTTATCATTCATTTTTTCAGATTACATTTTTTTAATTTTCTTATCATGTTTGTTTGCTTTTTTTTATTTCTTTTAAATGAAATTGATAGAGAGGGAGACAGAGAGTGTATGGGAGAGGAGAGAAATGGATAGATGATTGCCTTTAAGAGTACCATTTGCCATGGATGGATGGAGAGATGCCTTGAACGGCAAAATGAGATACAACTTTAATAATTTTTCAATGTATTTATTTATCAAGTTTATAGAGTTGCAGGAATCGAGATTTGGAGAGATAGAGAAGAAAAAAGATAGTGATTCTAATTTTGGTGTTATCAAAAGGGCATTTTAGTCTTTTACGAGGTATTTAATGGCAAAAAGCAATAAAATTAGACGGAAGGACCATTTAATGAGACGGAATTCAACCTTAATACATAATATACAAAAATACAAAAATACAAGGATGACTTAATTAATTTTATAAGATCTCAGGGATGAAAAATTATTTTCCCTAAATTTTTTTTATATATCTTATTTTAACTATCATTGAATATTTTAGTGATATCGTGTCTTCCTCCTTGAATTTCAATGGTGTGATATTGATTATAACAACAAATAAAGAAACAGATGAGAAATACAGATGTATGATTAATTGATCCTACTTGATTCAATTTTCAAATAGTTTACATGATTTTCAATGAAATGGATTAACAAATCTTCTTGAGAAATCGTACTTGAGAGATGCCATGTTATCATTTTCAATGTTTGAGATAAAATGAAAATCTATTAACTTAATAAAGAGTTTGAGTGTTTGTTAGATTAGTAAGGGCAATTAAGTTAAATTGGTGTTATAAAATAAACTTGCTATAGTATTAACAAACTTTGCTTTGAAAAATCAACAAGGTGGTGGTTGAGCTGGTTAGTAACTCCAGTCATTTCTAATGGCTCTAGAAGTTATAATTTTGAACCATTTCTAATGGCTCTAGGTATAATAAATTTATATCTCATTTCAAGTTTTAACTTGTACATGAAAGGTTGGATGAAGCTTGGATTGTAAATTAGCCTACCCCAGTTGAGCTTTGGTTAGACAAAGGTTGAACTTGAAAAAGAAAGTGGATATTTGGGTTTCATCACCCAATCACCTTGAGTCTTTAGGTTTTATTGCTTTTAAATTTAATAATCAACCATTATTTGTCGAGCTAACTCGCAAGTCTACTTTACCTCGCGAGCTAGCTCATGAGCTAATGAGTCAAGTTCGAATCAGTTATACATGAGGTCAATAGCTCAGTTTGAGCTCTACTCAATTTGCTTATCGAACGAGCTTTTACCAAATCGACTTCAAACAAATTACCAACGGCTTGGTTCATTTATAGTCCTAGATGAGGTTGTTCCCACTCGTTTAGATTCATCTTGCACTTCCACTCAGTTTAACAAGAGATAAATGGATAAATTACTCTTGGCATAAAAATAAAAGACATATAAGACCAATGTGGGTGGTTACATTAAAAGGAAAAATAAAATTGAGCTCTTATTTCTACAAAAGAAAGATGAGAAAATTCTTAAATTTATGTGAAATCTTACAATAATTGAAGTATGATTTATGTTTGGATTTGAGACCTGAAAAATAAAAGATAAGTTAGATTAACTTAATATGGATTATGAAGTATTGCCCTTTAAAGTTCTCTCGCAACTCTCTCTCTCTCTCTCCAAAACATAAAACCCTAAAACGCTCTCTTTTTTTCTTCCATGAGCAGCCACCGATGGTCACCCTTTTCCCTTTTTTATTTGTTTATTTTGCAAATAATCCTCAGATTTGTATATAGATCTGAGTTATTATTGATCATATCTTGAAATTTATTATTGCCCATATCTTGGGATTTTGTTATTAGATCTAGTTCTGATTTATTGTGATCACGGTTATGGTGATTTTATCTAGCGCTTTTATTATTTAGATAGTTACGCAGAAAGAAGTGCAGATTTCCTTTCTAATAGAAGGAAGAAATTCGAAGGTAATTATATTGGACTTGTAGAAAGACCATGGAGTCGAACAGTGGCCATGAATAGCCATCAAGTGGAGCGAACGATCACCTATGACACAAATATCAACTCAATTATATACTTTAAATCAAGATTATAGTTTTTTATTCTTTATATAAGTGGTTTAATATTAGACTTTCTATACAAAAATATATAAACATATTGATTTGTATCTCATATATGTATACAGTTTCCTTTTAATAAAATTTCTAATTTGATTTCTTCTTAAACAAAAAGGAGTCAATAAGATGTATTTTATTTTACCTGAGGAGCAAATGTAAATCCACCACTGAAACGACCAGATAAAATCTTTTTCAAAAATTTTGCATTTAAAATTTAATTGTAAATTTTAAATAATGAAATTTAGCAAAATATTTTATTATTGCTAAGCCAGACCTATAAACTAGTTTGAGTTTTTCAAAAACCAAATGAAAACCCGTAAATAAAGCGAAAATCAAATCAAATCATTGAGTTGAACCAAATAGGTTTAAGTCGAACCAAAATAGTCTAGAAGCCTAGATTTTTTTTCTTTCCTCTTTTTTTTCTTTGTTTCTTCTCTCTTGGTCCAGCGACTGGCCCGTCGCCGTCCTCCTCCTCCCTCTTTCTCTTATTTTTCCGGCCACTGGAGCTAAACGAACCCACCCTCTCCTCCTCGTCACACCACCAGCGTCTCTCCTTCTCTCTCCCTGTCTCCGTCTTCAATGAACGCAGCAGGCGAGTGAGCTGCGATTCTCCTTGGCGGCGACGCAGCAGCACTCCAACCCTTGCAATTTCAGCCGCCGATCGCCCCTGCTCAGGTCATGCCTCCTCCTCGCTCGCGACTCTGGCGAGCGCTGTAACACAGGTGAGCAGTAGATTCTTTATCGACGGCGACGACGGCAGCGGCACTTGGCTCCTGTTGAGCCTGCTACGGTCGAATAGAAGGCCAATCTCGCACAACTAACGCCAAAAACGGACTCCTCGATGAAAACTGAGCCGGGTGGTGCAAAGAATGGTCGATTCTGGGTAGCCATGGTTTTTGGCCACATAGACAGCGGCGGTCCGGCAACAGGCCGGCGAGCCCCAAGAGGCAGAACCACCCCTTCCTCGCGCGGATTGTTGAATCGTCGTCCTATTTTCGATCGGTACGTTCTAAGACCTAGTTCTTCCTTTTTGGTATAAATTCCAAATTTAGGACTATTAGATGATTAAGTTGATTTTGACTAAATAATAAATCAAATATAATTCTTATTAGGGAATCTCGTTAGACATTTAATTATTTAGCTACTATTAAAGTGAAAATTAACTTGATGGTTATTTGTGTGAATCATGGTACTGGAGGGAAAACTAGGTGCTAAGTTACTGAAAAGCAAAAATATTATGAGAACTATTTAAATTAATATGCAATTGAAGCTATGAGTTGAATTCTTATATAACAATGGTTAGATTAATGTATTTCTTACAAGCTTGATAAGGAGATTGAAATTTTCTTATTATGACAACAGCTATTTTGTTTGCTTCTATGAGTTAACAGTATGAAGGTTTAAAAGTAAGGTTGTGAATTTAGATTTTGTAGGGTAGTGAGTTAGTTAATGTGAAAGTGTGAAAATTTAATCAAGAAATCTAGACTTTTGGATATGGTAGCAGTTAACTTGATAAATTGTTTATATTTTACTATAATAGGAAGTGATGTCTTATATCAAATTATTGATAAGAAATGGTTAGGATAGCATATAAATTATGAGTTTTAAACAAAGAACTCTGATTTTCTTCGATATAGCAGCAAACAATCATCTAGTTTTGTATATTATTTTAACTAATAATAGGAAGTGTATGTTTTATATCAAATTATTGATAGAAATGGTTAGGATAGCATATAATTATGAGTTTTAAATAAACAAAGAACTCTGATTTTCTTCGATATAGCAGCAAACAATCATCTAGTTTTGTATATTTCTTTATAGTGAGATAGAATATGAAGTTGCATATCTATTACTTCATGGAACCAAACAAGTTACATGGAAATGGATAAATTTCGATTATAAACATGAGAGATCTTGAAATGGTAGCAACCAAATTACTTATTCTTTTTATGAGTTTTGGAAATATTAAGATGAGAACTAATGTCGCATACTTGTATCTTGGTGAGAAATGGATAATTAAACATGTTTAGGACAGTTTTTAGCCTAGTAATTGAGATGTTTGCTAAACTGGTAGCAGCTAGCTAGACCAAATTCCATAAATTTGGGAAAAATAGAGCTTGCCTAATGTTATGAATTTAATCTTCAGTTGGCAATCAATTTAATATAGAGAATGTGAGTAAGTTTTCATTGAGCAGTATTAACTAAGGAATATGAAGCTATGGCTTGATATAAACCCTAGATAAAGCTATGGCTTGATATAAACCCTAGATAATGATTTAGCAAAAAGGCTTATGAACAATTTATTGTATAATTTTGATATTTGGAAATTTCAAATGACTTACACTTTAAAGTGGTGAATTGGTTATTTAGAGGATGTATTTTATTGATTGTAATTTAATTTAAGCATTGGTTCTTAGTGAATAGGCTAAAAGATGTATTTTATTGAATTGTAATTTAATTTAAGCATTAGTTCTTAGTGAATAGGCTGGAATTTTAAAGAAAGTTTAAGTATGTTATTTATACCTTAAGCAAGAATGATTGATAATAAAGTGGTAACAAGTTTGGAAGTTACTTTAAGTTGGAAATTGATGTGATTACTTTGGATGGAGGAAGGGAAATAAATTTATTTGATTGCCCGATGGATGGGCTGTGTGTATTGATTGAATAATAATTAGTGTCATTGGGGTATTTAAACAGGTAGATAGTCCTGTTTTTAGGTGAGGTGCTGCCGAAATTACAACAGAATTTAGGCTAGTAATGTTTAATGATCAAGTAAATAGACTTAGTTTAGTATAACTCTTTAACTTGATTTATTCTTAAGTAGAGTTCTTTGTTTAATTCAGTTCTTCCTTTGTATTTATATTTTGTCTAGATTATTCAAGTCCATTTATCGTTCCCACAGGTCAAATCCAATTAGAACTTCTTTTCTCTATCACTATGAGCAACAATAAATAGTGCACAAGCACTTACATCATGCATAGACACATTAGTATAAATAATGTTACAATTACCTATCGTGTTCCTTAATTTTTCTATTGGGAACTTATTTATTTTAATAGCATAACATTCATTACTATTACGCTTAGTTATATATATGTGCATATTCGAACATTTGCATAACAATGTTTGTTTATGTAATATGCTTGCATTTAATTGCATTGTTTGATTATTTGTGTTGTGATATTGATTTGCCTTGTTTGTGTGGAATTGGGATGCAGTGGGTCATCATAGGTTTGTGAGGGCAGTCTTCGATACCGTCGGCCATGTATAGAGAGATCGGTGTTCCCGTGTGTATCTGATGCTAAGAATTATATGGAAAACTTCAAAGTGGTTTCCTGTTGGTATGGAAAAGAAAAGAGAGTATACAAAATATGAGAGGGCTGGTCAAGTGAGGATTAGACCGGTCAACTATGTATGAGGGATTGACTCCCTGGTGCATACGTCATGAGAGGATGAGCTATGTGTGAGGACTGCTCATGGGGGGTTTCGGTGACGCCACAAACCAATCTCCACTTGTTTGATTATGTGAAGATGTACTTGTATGTGGGTGCTGATGTTGTGGCATGTATTTGATTGGACGAGTGTTCATTTTAGTATTTTAGGAAGCATTTTGTGTGAATGCTTGTGTTATGCAATAGTTATTATTCATTATTAAACTCACGATTGGACGAGTGTTCATTTTAAGTATTTAGGAAGCATTTTGGTGTGAATGCCTTGTGTGTAATGCAATAGTTATTATTCATTATTAAACTCACCATTTCCTTTTGTTAACCTTTTTTCAGGAAGTAGATTTCTCTTTGTCCTAGCCCCAAAAGCTCTATTTCCTTCACGCAGAGCTAGAAAAAAAAGTAACTCCTTAATTCCAATAATTATTTAAGATTATATAGTTAAATTGTACTAAAACTAATTTATATTTATCTTGTTAGTCGAACTTTGCAGTTGTAGGATTGTAAATGTTAAAACTTAGGTAAATGTATGAACCAGGTTAGTTCATATTATGAATGTTCGTATAATTGGGACCCGACCTAAATATTTAAGATCACAGATTTGGCCAAACAAGTGCATATAATTTATTTAGATTTAATCGTTAATGAGCATATGGGCTATGTTGGGGTGTTGGAAATTCATATTGAATATAGTTTGATGTAGTGGTTTCAGGCTTAATTGGAAGTGAGCCTGAGGAAGTCTTAGCTTACTTGAAGTACCCAGTGCGGTCTGGGCCCATAGTTATTGAGGTCGTAGCTCTCAATTAATTAATATAAATTTTGATTGGACGAGTGTTCATTTTAGTATTTTAGGAAGCATTTTGTGTGAATGCTTGTGTTATGCAATAGTTATTATTCATTATTAAACTCACATTTCTTTTGTTTAACCTTTTCAGGAAGTAGATTCTTCTTTGTCCTAGCCAAAGCTCTATTTCCTTCACGCAGAGCTAGAAAAGTAACTCCTTAATTCCAATAATTATTTAAATTATATAGTTATATGTACTAAAACTTATTTATATTTATCTGTTAGTGAACTTTGCAGTTGTAGGATTGTAACTGTTAAACTTAGGTAAATGTATGAACCAGTTAGTTCATATTATGAATGTTTCGTATTATAATTGGGCCCGACCTATAAAATATTTAAGATCCTAGATTTGGGCCAAAGTGCAATATAATTATTAGATTTATCATGTATGGCAATATGGGCTGATTGTTTGAAATTCATATTGATATAGTTGAATGTAGTGGTTCAGGCTTATTATGAGCCTTGAGAGTCTAATGCTTACTTGAGTCCCAGTGCCGGTCTGGCCCATAGTTTTAGGTCGTGACAATCACTCATAAATTAATATAAATTAAAAAATTACTATTACATCCATATATGTATCGAAGTATAACTATTACATGCTTACTTTTCTAGAAATGCCTTTTGAAGTCCAAATATTTTCATTATGTGATAACATTTAATCATTTCGTTCAATTTTATTCAATTTGGCCATTAAGTCAATAAACAATAACAAAAATACCCTTATCCTCCTATTGCATTTTTGTTTTGTGCTAAATCATTTCCTTTTTCATTATCTTCGTCAACAAGCACTACCATTAAACTTCATCACAACTTTAATTACAAATCAATAAAATATTAAAAAAAGAAGAAAAATCAATGAAGTAGTGATTAAAGATCAAGCAAATTAAATTAAAATAATAAATAATATTAAAATAAAAAACAAAATTAAGACAAAAAATAAAAGAAATCCAACAATTTCAACAACCCAAGACGAAAAAAAAAAAAAACTCCTTCTAAATAAACTAATCAATACAGATTGTTGTTCAGTTCTATAATTATAAATCAAACTCAAAAATGATAAAACTCAAACCGCTTCTTTATATTTAGTTATCTCATCTTTTTAAACAATAAAAACACTTGTTTACACAAACCCACTTTGGCAATACCCATCAATCATGGAATTTCAAGAAATCAAGTTCTCTCATAGGTGTCATCAAACACATTATGCGTAAAATTAATAAACCCACATGAAATAAAATGCATTTAACCGACTGTTTTGCACCCAAACGTGACACCCAATACCCAATCTTTGACCTTATCCATAGACAAGCAGAGATACCCAAAAAGCAATTTTGAAGCACAAGCATTAAGAGCAAAACGGAGATTAAAATCATTTGGAAAGACACCAAAATCAATCATTTGGCGGTATAATAATATATATTCTATTGAATCAATTCCAATTGATTTACCGAAATCTTGCCTTGGGTTGCTTAATGTTTCTTGTTCTCACTTCATATGGGTTCTAGAAAAAAACGCATTAAGGGTATTTTCAATTTAATTCTAAATTCTCTTTTTTTATCCTTCTTTTGTCATTGACTTAACAGTCAAATTACACAAAATTGGAAGGAACGATTAAATGTTATGATAGAATGAAAATATATAGACTTTAAAAAATACTTTTAAAAAAACAGAGATGAAGTAGTTGTATTTCGATATATATAACCACACAATAGTAATTTTTTCATATAAATTTAATAATCTCCAATACCTCAATTATCTACAATAACATTAACACTTAATAATTGGAAACCAACAACGTAAAAGTAAATGATTTGAGATGAAAAAAAAAAATGACATCTATAATAGATCAAGAAAAATCATACTTGAAGCATTTGCCAAATTAGGTAAAACATGCTTCCTTCATTTGCACTTATTAAGTTATATGGTAACGTACGGTGATTGGAAAATATGATCCCTATATCATTGGCAAAATAACTAATAATCAATCCGTTAAATAATATTGAAAAATTTACTAGGTAAATGGTTACCTATAAAGTAGCTTACAAATATGTTATTTAATGTGATTCTTTTAATTTGAATATAAAATACTCTTTCCAATATAATTATAAAAAATAGAAATAAATAATTATCTAACATTAAATTTATTGATCCAAAATAAATTGTTTACCATCTTAATAAATAATAAGTCATTTTATTATTAAAATATTGATTATGAATTTATTCAAATGAAAGTATACTATATAGAATAATTAGGCCCGTTAAACTTGTTTTAAATACCCGTACTTTACCCAAAGTTTGAAGTCATTCACTTATTTACCTTCAGCCATTTTGCTGATTTTGATAGACACAACCACACATATAGAGGAAAGCCATAATTTTGTGAATGATTTTTTTTTTAGTGCATGAAAATTGATATTTAATCTAACAACTGCAATTGCGTATTATTAAATGATCATTATAATTATAATATGTTCTAATTTTTGTCAGAGAAATTATAAAATATGAATTGGCATTTATAGAGAAGTTAATTTTTGTATAAATTTATAAAAATAAATTTATATAATTAAAATCTTATTTTTTTTATTTCAAATATAAAAATTTGAATCCCACGAATGAATTCTACAAAATTTTACAGAATTCATTTATTCCAAATAGAGGTTAAAGTCATCACCCTTATTAATATTTATCAAAATTATAATAACAACAGTGACATTAGAATTTAAAATTATAATAACAGTGAGAGAATATAGAATAATTAATATTAATTGTACCATCTTTGCACATCAAATACTTGAATTTCGTTAATTATTTGCACAAAGAAAAGAATATATACTTATTTCACAATAGTATAATTGAATACTTCGTGACAATGTCAAGAAATCCAAATTAATTAAATGAATTTTCTATAACATGGTATGTGGATTAATTCTTTTAAGTTAATTCATTCATACAAGCAAAGCCCAAATTTCAATTTTGCAATAAAAGAAAGAAAGAAAGAAAGAAAAAAAAAAAAGGTACCGTTTTAAGTTGAATCATTTGTTTTTTAATGTTGCTTAAAAAGTGTTGCTTCTAATGCCCTCGAAAGAGATCTGTTTTGCTTGGGGTTTTGCATCGTAATTATATGAAATTATTTTAATATAAAATACTAAATAAATGTAATTTTCAGTATACTAGTGAGTGTTATATAATAAAAAATGATATTGATTTATATACGATGATTATTTTTACTTTTCTTAAGAGTATAAGTCATATATCAAGTATTACAAATACAAATACATGTT